ATTCAGAACACTAAATGATAAAGTAGTTTTTAAAAAATCTAAAATTGTATACATTATCCACTAATACATTTTCTTAAATGGATAAAATCTTTTTCTGAAATACACATTTTGAGCATGTCCATTTTCTTAAAGAGGCATTTTGAGCTATACTATCTTTTGTCTTACTATATTTACTTTAGAGAATACATACCGCGGGAGAAAAAAAAAACTTCTTGGAAGCATTTACTTCATAAGTAATTTAAAATTTTAAGTGCAGAAAAAAAAATAGAGTTCAAATTAATTATGACAGAATTTGTTGTTGTTATGAATAGAGAAAGCAATAGCATCTTAATTTGTTGGCACACAATTTGATATTTTAAAATCAAAATTCAGCATATGAAACTTCATAGTTAACTCTTAGTTTATCTGAACTTTTTTTTCTATTATTAAATTTCAAATAACAAATGTAGTTAAAAGAGAATTTACAATAAAGGGTTTTTCCCGCTGTATAGCGTCCTTTTAAGTTTTTGGCAGTTTTGTTTTGTGTAAATAGCAAAACGTTAATTCTATGAAGCTAATATAAATCATATTATTAAATGAAATTGCTAAATAAATGAATATAGCCATAAAATTAAGAATTAACTTATTTACCGAAATTTAGAACACAGTCTTAAGTATATCGGTGTATTGTATATAATTAAGGTTTCGTCATTTTGTTTTGTTCAAATAGTGAAAGTCTGTAGACTAATCCGCAAACGTGGCAATGTGTTCGTTTTCAGACTAGTTAAGATCACTCACAACTTAACGACATCTGGGGGAAATAAAAATACGAATTTTTAATCGTTTTTTGACAACTGCTAGCAAATTCAATTGTCATTTTATTGCCAAATAGAATTTATCGTCAATCGAAATTTGATCACTTTCCAACTAGCCAGGCTTCAGAGTGATCATATCTGTGCCTGATAGCAATACAAGATTTTGAGAGCTTTCCAACATAATCTGAAAAAGTCACAACAACAAAAAATTAAATAAAAATGTAAAAAATATATATATATAATAAAACTGCGTTTTTCGAGATAATTAAATAGGCGAAAATAGTTCTACTTTGGTAACAGCTAAAATAAAGACGCAGACAAAAACCAGCATTTTTTATTTTATTTATTCATTGTGAATAAATGTCTATATGTAGTGTCAAAAAACATATAAAAAATTGAATAGTAGGAACATTTATTTGAAAGAAAAAAAAATTATGTCACTGTTAATAATTACCACACGCGTTCCTAAAATTACCACACGCGCATTTTTTAAAAAGTGGCAGCTAAAAATTATTTATCGCGAAAATTATTTTCTCACGTTTATCTCAATAAATAAAAATTTCTGCGCTGCAAGTATTTTGATTTTCAAATGTTCTGCTTAATTACTATATCCTAAGGCATTTTTTCACATATACATGCGCACCCACACTGCAAAACTTTTAATTTTTTGAGATAGTTTCCATTCATGTCACTCTTTAGAATGAAACAAGTGACTGATTCTGAAATGCGATTTTTAGCAGTCAAAAGTAGGGTTATTTTTGTGAAAAATTCTTATACAAGAAGAGACAATGGATACTTAAAAGATTTATTAAAATTATCAGTAACACAGAACGTTTCGTTATTTAAGATAAATAGTCCTTATTCATGTCACTCTTTAAAAAAGGCACGTTGCACTTAGCTTCCGAAAAGTAAAATCTTTCTAAAAGAGAAATAAAATATTATAAGCCTGTTTGTTAGTGAAAAATTGTTCTAATATGCATTTTGGCATGTTAGACATTTAAAAATGTACTAAAATTACTTGCTTTATAGATCAGGTAGTTGTTTAAAATAAATAGTTTCTATTTGTGTCACTATTTAGCATGGCACTGTATACTTTATGTTTGAGGTGTAAAATTTTATGACAGTAGCAGACAAAACTAGGCCTTTCTTTTTTCAACATCATAAAAATTTCATTAAAAATACTTGCATCTCGGAGCTTTTAATTTTTTGAGGTTAATAGTTTGTCACTCTTAATTATATTACTATACAATTTGATTTTGAAAAGTAAATTTTTCTGAAACTAGGAGTAAAAATTAGCAGCCTGAAATTAGCAGTTTTTCTGAAAATTTTCCCACTATATAATAATGCAATAATTAGAAAATGAATTAAAAATATTTATACCACAGACCTTTTAATTTTTTGAGGAAAATAATCACTTTTTGAGTCATTCTTAAAAATGGTACACGAAACTGTAATTCTAAAGAGCAATTTTTTTGACAGTAGCAACCAAAATTAAGCTTGTTTTCGTGAACATTCTTTTTACTTAAGAAGAAAAAATAGACACTTTAAAATATTTATGAAAGAGCAGTAAAATATAAGCCCGTTTGTTTGTGAAAAAGTGCCTGAAAAAAATTAATGCTTTGTTGAAAAGTTGAAACAAATACTTTCCATTTGTGTTAGCATTTACAATTTGCATCTGAAATGCAAATGTTTATGAGAGTAACAAACAAAATTGAGTCATTTTTTTGTTAAAAGTGTACTTGTTAAGTGATACAATGGACAAGTAAAAACTGTATTAAAAATAATTGCTTTGTGGAGTTGTAACTTTTTGAGATAAATAGCTTCTGTTCTTGTCATACTAAAAGAGGGTACAGTGTACAAAAAAATAAATAAGATATCACCTTGAATAACTTTCATTCTAATGATTGATTGACCTTAAATTTGCTAATTATTTAGTGCCGAACTATTAATTAAGTTACGAAATCAGACACAAAAACATACTTTCTCTGAATGAACTTATATATTTTTCTTACATATTTCGATTCTTAACTTTCAAAATATAGGAGTAGCCATAATCTGAGAAATATTCTTCCCATGGCTTGGCCAGGAGAGCGATCCAAAGTTTGCGTTTTTAGTCATATTTTTAAAACTAATTAAGCACTTAAAAAAATATATATATATATTGGGCCCACTCATAAAATCTATTTACCCAAAGATAATTTAATATTAAATATTATTTTTAAAAATTATTATTTTTAATTATTTTATTTAATTGTAAATGAAAAAATTTTGAATTATGAGGTATAGATTTTTTATACCATATTAATCTACGTATTTTCCTATCGAAAAATCTAAAGTTTCAACTGTTTTTATTAAGTAGAAACCGAAAAAATCTATAATTAATTATTTAAAAAAAATAATAATTTGACGATAATGAAGAAATAATGGGGTGATTAATATGGCAATCTGATTTTCATTTTATTTTTACGAATTTATAAAAAAAATCGAATTCTCTACAATGCAGTAAGTATATGCATGCAGGACTTTTTCAATACTTCAAGTCTTGAATTTTTGATTAACTACAAAAATTTATTTTTCTTATTTTCACGTAAAAATGAAATTTTTAAGCCTGTAATCAATGCAAGAAAAGATTTATAAAAAATTCATACGCTACATTCTAGTGTACTCAAAATATATTGCTAAATGATTGAGCTATTTTCAGTTTTATAACAAATTTTCATCAACTAAACATAAATTTTTTTTTATGAAATAAGCTAAAAGAAAAAAATTTTTTTTACCTGAAAAAAAAAGGAAATCTATATGATTGGAGAAAAGATCATAAACTTAATAGAATTTAGTTTGAATAATCTTTATCTTCCTATGTCTTTAGGCAAATGTAATTTGTGCATAATAAAATAGGCCTATTTTTTAAAAAAAGGTTTGATCAAATTTAAAATTATTGCATAAACAAGCTTTTTATAATATATTTGATATATTTATAAGTCATGGTATTCAAAATCAATTGAAATGAAATTTATTAAATCAAGAATAACATAATAAAGCCAATATTTTTGTTAATACTAGGAAAATTCTTTACACAAAAAGTATGTAATTTGGTCACTATGCTTAGGAGATGGAATTCAGAATGTATTAGTTATTCTACGCTGGAAATTATACAAATCAAAAAGTTCAAAATACATTTTTCTTAATTCCAGAAAAGATTGAAAAAGAGGTGAAATATTAAATTATTATAATTCTGAAAATTTAACAATCGTAGAAGTTCATATGATTTATTTTTTTTAAAATTAATAATTAAAGGTCACATAAAATTTTATATATATTAACTGATCACCAAGTTTTCAAATCCTTTTTTCATTAAAAAAATGTTTCTTTTTTTTTTACTTTTGAAATATTTTTTTAAGTCTTAATTATGAAGAAACACTCAAAATAATTAGTACATAGAATATATCATCATAATAATAAAATGAATTGTAACTGATTTGCCAAAAGTGTACTATGCCAGGCCACCCAACATAGTAGTATCTTGCATGAAATGAGATAAAATAAATAATTGGCACCTATAACAAATTTATTCTAAAGCTAAAACCTACATCTCGACATATTCTAAGAGCTGATGTGTTACCCTGTAATACCTTTTTTAATTACATTTCTACTAAGTTCAGTTTTTTTTAAAAACTTTTATGAAAGCGATATTAAAAAACATTACAATGTTATGAACTTGTTTTCAATTATGTAATTTATTATACATTAAAAATGTTATTCATATGAAATTCATTATGAACGCTATAATATCATTGATGTTAAAAGATAATACAGAAGATATGTTCATTGAGAAGAGTGAGGGGAACACAAGAAAGTAATAAAAATTAACTGTAGGGAGCTTCTTGAAGTATTACAGTACATAAAAAAAAACTGATTACCATTTGAGAAGGACTGACTTTCAATCCTCAGTGGCAGACTAAACAAATTCAGTACAAAGGGTAAATTTTTTTAAAAATTATACAGTAAATGCAATGGAATGGACGAAAGGTTGTGATAGAGCATAAATGAGATTCTAGCTATTTCAGCAAAATAGTAATATTTTGAACAATTTCCAACAAAAATTTTTATAACTTTATGAAATTGAAACAGGTCAGAGTTACTCGACAAATATTTTAATAAAATTTTTGTAGGATAAACAAGACATTTGAAAATACATTTAGATCAAGACCTCTGTGAAATTTTTTGTATATAATATTTTATTACTAAAATAACACACAATTTACAATATAGAAATTATAAATTACAAACAAAGGTTACTAAACAAAGATGTGTTGTGCATTACTTTTTTTTTATTTACAATGCAGTAGCACCCAGTCACTTCTGTACAGGTTTATAATAAATATATTTAAATTATATACATTTCTACAAGCTTTTTTTCTTCTAAGTAGTAATTCATAAAACTTCTAAATCAACATGTCTTACTTCAGGGTGTTTTTTCTGCAAAATACAAAATTATTTCAATTGTTTAACATCTGATAGTTTGAAAAAATACAGATGTAGTAATCCTAGAAGTATCGTTAACTTTGAGTAATTCATAAACTAAAAATAAATATGGTCCCACAATTTTGATACTAGGCTTAATTTTTTTTCTTAACCCTTAAAAAGGTGCTCTATGTCTTTTTTTTTTTTTAGAAGTAACATGGAAAATCCTTCAATGACCTTATGAAGTTTAAAAGAACAGCATGCATTATTTCCAGTAGCATTTAAATCTGATAACAAAAATACTTTCATTATTTAAGTATAGATTACCTAAATATTATTTTCTAAAATGATTGCGAAAGTTTTGTAATCCACTGGTTCAATAGTTTAAGAAATTCTTAAAGTTTGAATTGTAAAACTTTTTTAAGATATATGATTTGAAATTGTGTCATTAAAATTATAATATTTCTCACTTCATGTATATCTACAATACTTTATGTTACTTTGCCCTTTGAAGGATGAGGCTTTCCACACATTTCTGTTTTTTTTACTTTGATCTTGTGTATGTATATAACTCTATCTTTAGAGGATTGCATCATATCAAACATTTTAAAAACTTAAAAGGTGGGTTACAAAACTTTATCATAATACAAGGTAACCATTTAAGTTCTTGCCATTTTTGCTTTCCCATTGAAAGAAGTGAGTATAGATCTGCAAATAAGTATATCGCATGGTTTAAAAACTTGTTGGTCTAGTGAAGGAATATCAGTCATTACAAAAGCAGGTCTGCCACATACTTTCATCAATCAAAACTCATACAGTAGCGAAGACAAATGGAAGTGTCCAAAAGGCTTGGTCGGTGTTGCTTAACTTATTTCAAAGTGGGCAACGAATAAGTGAAGTGTTTTAGAATAGTGAACAAACTGTAAGGCATTAGTTTCAAAAATCCAGGTTGGGAGATGTCTCTGTGGGACGAACCTTGCCTTGAATAATGAAGCCCTGTAGGCAGATTGAGAAGGACAGTAGTCTAACATGTGGTAAACTTCCAAGACAGTTTGAAGTCTGTTTGAAGACAGTTTGAACAGTTTCATCAGAAACATTAATCTACACAGCTTAGGTAATACATACGGGCTTAGCAAGTGGGTTCTGCACAGGTTTTAGGAAGTCTACAAAAAATAATGAGTGGCAAGCTGCATGCAACCAATTTTATTGCCACTATACCGTAACTATATTAAATCAAGTTCTAAGTTGTCAACTTGTAAAAAACAAATGTAGGAACACAAAGCACGATAAGCTTTTTGAATCAACACTACACATTGACAAGAAAATTCAACACATTGCATGAATACATTTATATGTATTATATATCACAACGTTTTTTCAACTATAGCCAAATAATTAATATATTCCTTTCAAAATTTCAGATATGCAATAAAAAAGGAGTAATACTTACTTTTACTCAGCTGATTAAAACTATAGTAAATAACAATAATGAATACTCAGGTATTAATTACTCAGGTTAATTTGGACAATACAGCGCAAGCGCAAAATAAAGGACCACCCTGAATAACTTTTGATCTAATAATCTGGTTTTCATCTTCTCGGACTCAATCTTAATGGTTTGAAGGGGTGACGTAAAATACGCTAATTAATTAGTGCAGGCATTGTTTGAAGTTACAAAATCAGATATCTTATCCTAAAATTTAAGAAGTATCTGCAATTTGGGAAATATGCTCCCCATAGTTTAGTGCCCTTAATGCTAATTTTATTTTTTGTGCATTTCACCATATCTTGTAAACTTTTTAAGATAATAAAAAATAACAATTTTTCAATTATTTATTTCATAATTGTCAAAAACATTTTGAATTGTAAGGTATACAATTTTTTACATTATTTTTTAAGAATATATTTTTACATGGCAAAATACAAAATTTGAGCGAAATCGGTTGAATAGTTCCTGAGAAAACAAATTTTGTTTTTTTTTAAAGAAGACTTTCTCGAAATTTGATTTCTCAAACTATTTAACTGATTTTGCACAAATTTTTTATTTTGCCATAAAAAACTATATTTCTTAAAACAATTTTAAAAATTTATACCTTACAATTCAAAATTTTTTATTAAATTAAACTATTATGAAAGCGATTAAATAATAATACTAGACTATAATAATACTAGACTATTATTAAATTAAATAATAAAAATTTACTAAAAGTTATTTTTTCGCATAGAATAGAATTCTTTAGATAAATAAATTATATAATTGTGCGCAAAATTTTTTCAATTAGTTTAAAAAGTGTCCGAGCAAAATAAACAAAAAATAAACTTAACATTAAGGGGAACAAACTTTGAACCACTGTCCTTACCAAACTATAGGGACCATAGTTCCCAGATTGCGCCTACCCCCTATATTTTGGGTGTCAGAAATCCGAATCCATTGAGAGAAAGTTTGTTTTTATGTCTGATTCCTTTATTAATTATCACAATTAGGTGATCTTTTTCTAACCATTAAGCGTGAGTCCTAAAACATGAAGATCGGATCATTCAGGGTGTTCCGTTCATTTTTTACACACTGTACTATATATAGCTGACTTAACCTTTTTTTTAAAAATGTGTGGAAATAACAAGATCTCCAACTTTATTAGTGAAATCCTCTCATATTTAATTTTCCCAAACCAAGAAAGAAGTTGAAAGAAACTCAGTTGCAAGATGGATAGTAATTCTCTATCTCAAAATTCCCTGAATAATTTATCAATTTTCTTTGACTAAGACAGCAGAGCTTATTAAATATTATGTAAATATTACTCTTTCAAGCATTGGCAATAATCTAGTGGATGAAATCTTTTACAAATGAAGAAGAAATTTTATTAAAACACACACTTTTTTCCTGCTAAAATTTCAAGTACATTTTATTAAGCTACAATGACCCTTGAACTAAATATTAGAGGAGTGATTGTGGCTGCAAAAAAAAATACCTAAAATTTTAGCAGAAAAAATTTATGTTAAGGGTCGAGACATATCAATTTTTATGGTCAAGTTTCAAGTTTAGAAAATTATAATTAGTAAACATTGCTTTTTATAAGTAGGCTAGATACAAAACTAACCTTTTTTTGCTGTTTATCCATAAAATTAGCTATAGCAAACTCTTCAATATAAATCACGCAAATTCATATTGGGATGTTTCTTTTTTAAATCTCACGAATATTAATCGTGATATGTATTTTTTAAATCACGTAAATGTGAATCGCAATGTGAGATTTTTGAATTGCGGAACTATGAATAACAATGTTTGATATTATAATAGCAAGAATAACAATTGCAATATTGGATTTTTAAATTATTTGAACCACGATGTTCGGCTTTTAAATTAAGTGATCTTGAATGGTGGTGCATAATTTTAAATTGCATATCACGATGTGCAATTTTCAAATCACAGAAATATAATCGTGATTTTAGAATCATGTTTATATGGATCCCAATGTGTAATGTGATTGCGAATCAGAATTCCAGTCTTTTAAATTACATGAATATGAATCATGATAATAATTTTTAAAGCATGCAAATATAAATCGTGATGAGCAATTTTAAATCGTGGGAATGAATCACAGTTTTATTTTTAAATCACATATATATATATTAATCATTATGTTCAATTTTTAAATTATGATCGAACTTTTAAATTATTGATACGAATTAAGATGTTTAATTTTTAACTTGTGTTAAGAAAAATCATGATGGATAATTTTTGAATCACGTAAGTGCAAATCACAATGCATAACTCATAAATTGTGAAAATACGAATCGTGAAGTTTGATTTTAAAATAGTGAGAATAAGAGTAACGATATTGAATAAAAATCACGTGAATATGAGTCACAGTATTGGATTTTAAATTGCTATGTACTTATTTAAATCATTCGAATCACGATGTTTGGTTTTTAAATCAAGTGATCTTGAATGGCGATCCATAGATAGGATGCGTAATAAATAAGAAAAATGGGCTTTAAAGGTGAATTTTAAATTTATCATAAATATGAAAGAAAAACCATTAGTGCAGAAATTAAAGGATTTACTGAATTTAAAAAGAAAACAATAATGCCCATGCGAGTAAATGATTGATAAAGCTGCTTTTTTTTATTCCCGCATTAAGGTCAGTGGAGTGCAACAAACAACAGTTTCACAATCTGTGGGAAGGGAAGAGTAGGAACAAAGAAAGAACTGATGATGTGCTTTTCTAATTTTTCCTAGACTTTTCTCAATTTTCCATTGCCTGCCACCAGGGTAGTTTGCCCCAATAGAAGTAAAAAAAGTGCTAAAATACAACGAAATATAAAAATTTTTGACCTAAAATTAGACAAAATTATACTTTATATGTCTAGTTGTCTAGTCATCAAGTGGTTGTTATGAGCTGCTTTTCAGCAGGCTAAAAAGTCACTACCAGAACGTATGTAACAAGCGTTGCAATAGAGAGACAGCACTGGTGAATCTCAAAAGTATTCTTTTCTAGCAGAATAATGTCTTAAGAGCCGCATGCCCCATGGGTGGTCATGGATATCATACATCTACTTGGTTAGGAGACTGTGCCATCCTCCCAACTCACCCGACCTCTTGCCAGATATCCACTACTGCCCCTCTCTCGACAATCATCTTCATGGAAATTCCTTTACCAATAAAACAGACTTGAGCCAAGCACTCACAGATTTCTTTGCATCCAAAACTTAAGTTTTTTAATGCAAAAGAAATTACACAGCTGGAGACAGAAAGTGATGAATGCTGATGGAGATTACTTTGAGGATTAATGATAGGTTAAACTTTCTGTAAGAAAGTTTCTTTTTGGCCATTAAAAACAGCTAAAATTTTATTAGTTACCTTGTATTGCCTTTACTACTACGTTGGTTGTAAATTAGCCTTGTTCTTACAATACACCAAAATATTTTTACCCAACAAAGCCTTGGCTTTAATGCCCTGAGATTGATTAAGTTCATGCGCTTTAGAAATGCTTAAATGAACAATATGAACTTCTAAGTTATAAAAATTTCATTTGATTTTCATGGATATAATATTTTAGACATTTTTTACTTAAACAGAGAGTAAATTTACAGACCAAATAGAAAATTGAAATTCTATTTGTAAGGACATATAACTATTACTTGATTTCGTAAAATGTGAAATCTACCTTTATATCAATAAGCAGAATGCACTTACTTTTAGAGCCATTTCAATCCGATCAATTTGCCCTCCTAATGTATCAACAATACTCTCACCATGCTTAAGCATGAACGCTTCGACCTCTTCAATAGATTTCAATTTCTGCATTTCCTGAAAAATTTTAAAAATATGTAAGAGTTAAGAAATAATGGAAGTTAAAATAAGGGAATATAATGTAATTCTGAAACCACAATAAATTCCGCAAATTTAAGATCATTTAACTTTGTCTATTGATTTAGATATGAAGAAAAGAGAAATTTGTTTTTACGAGCAAACATTACTATAAAGTATAGGTACAGCATGGGAAAAACAGTATGCCATTAAATATATATATAAAAAAATTATGTATTGCTGAAGGAAAAAACAAGAATGCTGAGCACTTAATTGGATTTTTGCTTTTACTTGAGGAAAGTGTTTCAGTAGTCCTACATAAAAGCCTTAATTGTATAAATTTTAAAATTCTGTTTCCTGTTTTAAAATTCTTTGTTTTGCCAATCAATGGATAAAATAATTATAAATGTAAATCATACTAGATAAATAACGAGGTAGAACACTTATATTTTAAATAGGGACCCAGAAAGATGAAAGTCCTGTGTCCTAAGAGTCGGTAGTTTCCAATGTATAGTGGAATCACTGATATGTGTGCAAACCTGTTTTAAAAATATATAAATAAATATATTTAAGTTTGTTATTATAAAAAAAAATTACTTTGATAGGGATTCTACTTATGCACAGTTATCAGTTCAAATACACCAAAAGTCAAAGAGGGGACACAAAAAAAAGTTATGATTCCCGAGGAGGTGTAATTCTCCAATGCACAATGTAATTTTTTAATTCACTCCTTTTGTAGTTAATAGCTGAAAGAGAATATTAGAATAATTTTGAATATCAGATTACATAGTTGCTTTTCTTTGATGCAGGTGCTTGATTAGTCCCAATTAAAAGCAGTTTGTTCTCTCCATTAATAGTTAAAATATTATGAATGTAAATAACAATTGAAGGAAAAAGAGGTTGAGAAATCATATTTATGATAGGAACCTTCTTTTTGGTTAAAAGGGACCTAGAAATATGGAGGTCCTGTGTCCTAAGGACCTGTAATTTAAAATGTTTGTTTATTCATCAAATGCCAGTCATTTGGTTCTAGGCTATTAGACCACAAGCTCTAAAGGTTTTGAAATTCAAGAAAGGTCAAGAAATTGGTCATATTCTAGCCAGTCATACAAAGACAACATGAAGGAGGGTCAACAAAGTTTAAACAAAAAGGATGGGCATGAAGACAATCATGCCCTGTCAGGAGTCTAAAAGTTGTAACTGCACAAGGTGAGTCAGGAATAAGCTATGGTTTAGAAAAGAGTACATTCCAAGGTTAACCACTCTAAAGATGCAAAGCTGTTTCATGGAGAAAGCACTTTCCATTTGAGAATTTCAATCAACTATATCTAGCAAATTTCAATTTAGCTGAACAGAATCCCAAGTTCCCAGTAGGTTTAAAAGGGAAACAAAGATTTCTTCTTTGCAAGGTAGTCAACTTTCTCATTTCTCCCAAACCAACAGTGAGAGGGAATCCATTGAAAAGACACTTTATGGAAATTAGAGTACTGCATTTCTGGACACCAAAATTCTTGGCCTCTTTATTTGAGGAAAGAGCTTGCACTGCAGAAATAGAGTCAGAAAAGAAAACTGCCTTTTTAGAAGAGGGGTCGAAGGTAAAATTGTTGATTGTTATAGGAATTAACTGTAACTCTCCATCAAAATGAGTTGTGACATTTTCAAGCGGAAGATGAAAACAAAACTGTTCACAAAAGATTACATTGCTCAGTAAAAAGCCAAAAAGGGAGCCATCTGTATAGACATGTAACTAGGTAATTTCCAAAGTCAAGCAGAATCGATTTAATAATTTAACAATTTTTTACATTCCTGGAAAGTATTTATAATATTTGTACCATTTATCCTAATTGGAAGTATTTAATATATGCTTTTAATCATATTTAACTACATACATTACTAAATAATTTGCAAAAATATTTTTCAAAAATATAAAGGAATAAACAAAAATCTCCACTAGCCTTAATAATAAAATAACCTGTGCTCATTATGTTAAAGACTGTGCTCATTTTTTGTATGAGTAAATATTTAGAATTTCATTTCGTCTTATAAATATCTATTACTAAGCATTACTAATAATACAAACAATTGATTATGCTTAAAAACTTATACTTTTGCACTTAATAAGACAGAAGAAGGGAGAGGTTTACTATTCTTTTAATCATATTTATTTATTTTTTCAAATAAGCTAATGATTACTATCAACTCAAAATTTTTTCTAAACATACAAAATAATCTTCACTCAATCAGAATGAAAAGTTTAGTGAGTAAGCTTTTTACCAACTAAGAAGTAATCTTTATGAGTTGAGAAGTTTACTCAAGAATTAATAAGCACATACTATAACTTAAATTGCAAAATCAAACACAAAACCTTGTTTTTTCTAAATTAACATATTCATTTTTTGATATACAGGATGATGGCAAAGATGCTATCTAGAACACATAGAGGCCACCCTAACTTCATGCAAATTGAGCATTTAGAATTTGCACGCTCATATAGGGCATGACAGTGTCCCAATAGTACGATTAAATAAATAAAAAGACCAACCAATAGGTAGGTTTTTCTATGTCGTTTTCACTTTCTGTTATTTTATCTGTTACTTAATATTGTTGTTCTTGTTGTAATCTTAGCTTTATAACCTAAATTATCATATCTAAACTGGGTTGTCTTACTGGTTTATCATTAAAATTGCATCTTAATGATTAAAAATCCAATCATGAGGTTCAAAGTTTTTCAGGTTAAAAAAAATTTTATTTTACCTATTGCACAGCTTCTCAAATAAAAACTGACATATATTAAACAACACTGTATTGCATATTTAATAAAATATTTTGAAATTATTTTTCTTTTTAATAACAGTTTCTTTAATATAAATTAGAATAAAATAAAGATACCTCAAGCAAAGCAGTCAAATCTTGAGAGTCCAAATATGAACGTGTCAGCTGTCTACCATCAAAATCAACTTCAGCTTTATATCTGACAAAATGATTACCCATATCTGTAGCCTTAACATCATGAATGGCTCTGAAAACATATGCTAAGACTAAGAAATGATTTTAAAAGCAACTTAACATACATAAATAAAAGCTGCACTCTTCGAAGATATAAGAATTTTGAAGTTAACTGTAATGATTTTGACAACTCTTTTGTCCTAAAAGTAGATATGAAGACAGTTAAATAATATTTTTCTTATTCAGGAGTTAAATTAAAATCAGAGAATAATGTACAGTATGACATATATTTTGAATGCTCAAATTTATACAAAATTGAAACCTTCACTTCATTAGAAATTACTAGTAAAATAACCATATCATACATTCATTACTAATAAAACTACATAGATAGTGAACATTTCTGTAACAAGTCAAGAATAAATATTAGGTTTCCAGAGTTGGCATTTTGCCTGGAAGAAAACTATTTCTTACAGGACACTAAAAAAATGGAAGAAACTAAAAATGCTTATTACAGTTGTTCAACAATAAATATAAGAATAATTGCTGAAATTTAAGCAAGGTAAATTTAATATAGTACCAGAAAGTTAAAAGTTTTTTTTCTTGCAATTAAAGCAGAAATAGTAATTTTTTTTTCAAATTTAGAAAAAGTATGTTCTGGTTTGAACAGATAAAAAAAAGTTTCAGGGCAAAAATGACTATCCACGTCCAGTTATGGGAATATCCGCTTCACGGAGAATGTACATAATGGCTTATTCATAGAAGATTCCCGGGCAATTAAAAATATGTCCATATTGAGAGACATCAGTTTTGCAGGAGCATCCATAACAGGGGGTTTAACTTTATAAATATATACAGTAGGGAACCGATTATCCGGAACGATTGGGACCATCGCTATTCCGGATAACTGATTTTTCCGGTTTTCTGAATCGCTGCAAAAGGCCGTTTTTTTATTGTTAAACCCAACTAAAAAAAAAATTTTTTTTGGAAATAATCTTAAAAAGAAGAAAAAACGATAGAGTAATACACTAATGATTATTTCCAAAATGATGGTAAAGTAAACATCTTTCAAAAAAGAACGAAAAATCCTAAAATCTTATGAGGAAAAAAATTTTTTTTTTTAAAAATGGCGGGAAAATATATCGAATTTTGTTCCGGTTTTTTGGTTTTCCGGTTTTCTGATTTCCGGATAACGGGTTCTGTACTGTATATATATATATAATGCTCTACAAACAGTTAAAATTAACAAACTTGTGTTAATAATCAATAAATGAAAATCACAGAAAATACTATAACTTGAGTTATCGCCCATTTTCTATTCAATTCCTTATTACTGCATTGGAATGTAACGAGTGGAATCCAGATTTTAATGATCTAAAAATAATCATAAAAATGCCCTTAAAACCATAAAAAATGACCATAAAATAGATTTAAAAAAATTCCCTTCTAATTATACAAGAATTTCATCGAAATGTCATTTCTATCTAAAATGTCAAATTACATCTAATTGTAAAAACAAATTGGCATGTTATTTTCATTCAATTTTGAAATTAATGTTAAATTCAAAAGTAGCAAAAAGGAAAACAGAAAACTGCATGATACATGAACACAGTCATGTATGCATTAATATAACTCGAAACTTCAATTTTGTGAAATTACTCGTAGAATGGTACTTTTACTTATTCAGCATGGCAGTTATACTTATTCAGCATGGGGTTTTTACTTTTTGGTGTACATGGCACTTTCACTGTGCTTATTATGTCTAAAATCATTTTATTGCTGTCATACTTGCAATTAATTTATTTATAATTAATCATTATGGTTTTGTAAAACTAATTATTATAATTATACCTGGTGGGAAGCAAACTTGACATACTTCCAAAATGTTAAGAGTTAAATGCTTTTTGATCTTTTCAGATATAAAAGAGCTTTTGTGTAAATTTTTAAACCTGAAGATGTTTAAGACATCTATAGATTTTATTCGTGTATATTTGAAGAAAATTTATTTTCTTACAGACAATTCTTTAACATCAAAAGTTGTTGCCTCTCCTGTAAAAATGAGAGATATCTTTCTTATCATCTAAAAGCCAAGGTTTTTCTCCAAGACCTTGCTTAACTTCTGACATTATTTTGCCCAATTTTACCTTTTATTTTTATCATTAAATAGTATGACTCTATTAAAATGTGTGCGACTCGAAAGAATAAACAAGAGAAAGACTTTTAAAATTTTTAAAAAAAGTACTAATATGAAAAAAAAATCCAACAAAATAAAATAAAAAATTCTTTAAAAGAGCAAAAAAATAAAAATTACAAAAATATATAAATGTCATCTAATTCCCAGCCTTAGTTACTAATTATGAGTACTAATTTAAAAAAAGTTTAATAATTTTAAAACTCTACTAAGTGATAGCAATTTATGGTTATTAAAGTTTCATGCCCAATGAAAGTAGAAGTGTTTCTCAATCTAAATCCATTAATTTCATCAATATACTCAAATACAAACGTAAAAATGTTCTTAATAGAATGGATTAGTTCCTAATGGAATGAATTAAATAAATTATGACGTAAGCATACTAAATATAATAAACAGAGAGGATGAAACATACACATTTAGTTAACTGAAATCTGAACAAAATTAAGAACACTGATAAAAAATAAAACTAATACAAAGTAAAATTACATTTCTAAGTCATTCTAAACTATATTGTTTGATATCTTAATATTCATTTCCAAATATTGTAAGGAAGAAATCAAAAATTATCAAAAAGTGTTAACATTATAGTAAATGGATAATCTTAAGAAATAAATAGCATACCTAATCATCACATCATTTTCCATTTCTTTATTAATTTCTTGCAATCTCTCCGCTTGAATAGATCTAAAAAAAGTTTGTTCCAAAAAATCACATAAAGAAGATACAAAATAAAAATGTTTATTTAGTTATGTACAATACCTTCCAACCAAAGCAGCAGTATTTGAATAGATAATGAACGAAGCAACAAGGCCTAGCACACCACCAACTGCCAAAGAACCAACTGCATCATATATAGGTAAACCAGTGTAAGATGTCAACCCCATACAGCCAGCTGCTATGAATATTCCAGCAACAGCAGCAATATCTTCCAAGAGTACCACATTCACACTTGGATCTTGTCCTCGTAAAACTATGAGAGCAGATAAGTATACATATCATATATAAATTTTTTTGTGTTGAAATTCCAAAACAAAAATCATTTTTAAAATCAATATTTCTTTTAATTTTTCAATTCTTCTTCATTTGGATCTGCAAACCTAGTATGTATTTTCATAAAGTTTAGACATTATATAAAAAGAAATGCCAAAAAAAAGTCTAGATTTTGCCGTATGTTTTTAATTCTAACTTGATAGTATTATCAATTATAACATGAAAATTATTGAGTATTTAATAATTAATAAGAAAATTCTAGCAATGTCTAAGTGTTTGAAATTTTCATAATATAGCTGCATACTTCATACTATAAATGCAAAAAATATCTATAAACTTTTAATAAACTCCTTGGTAGTTCATATTATATAGTTATTATTATATTAGATCGTTTTAGCCCTGTTACTGATTTTTCTGGTATCCATTTCCATACAGAGCTGTTGCACCCGGCCCATAAAAGTAAAGACAACCCAGAATTTATGAGACAAATGGCTCTTGAAACTATTAGCCAAATACCAACAGATGATTTACAACTATACACAGATGGCAGCAAGAGCGAAGAAGGTCATTCAGGTAGTGGGGTTTTTATTAAAACACCCATGTACACATTGAGTCTCAAAGTTAGAAATTCTGAATTTTGCTCGGTTTTCAGATCTGAGCTTATTGCGATTGAAAATGGCCTAAGACATGTTGAGAATATTGCTGAGCCTGACTTTAAGCATATATGGATACTGACGGATAGCAAATCTTCAATCCAACACCTTAGCAACTGGAGGAATGTTGGAGACAGGGCTGCGGCTTCAATTTTGGGGATGCTCTTCAGGCTCTCTGCGGACTTTGGAGTACACTTCCAATGGATTCCATCACACGTTGGAATCAAAGGTAACGAGATGGCGGACTCACTGGCTAAAGATGCTTCTTTAGAACCTTTACAGCCAGATTTACCTTCCACTTTCAATGAGGTCTTTGCAGAGTGCAAAAAAATGTTTATGGACCTCTGGAGGGTTCCTCCTCCGCATAATTGGTATTTCAGAAAACTACCTGGAAGTGCCTTGTTTTTTGGGGGACCAAGAAGCCAGCAGACTTGTTTATCTCGCTTTGCAAGTGGTCACTTGAGGTGTCTCTCATATGTTCAGGGGCAAAAGACTTTTGGACTTTGCACTAAATGTAAGACTGCTCAGGCTTCTCCCGAGCATATTCTAAACTGCATCGATTTTAAGATCAACGAGGTTTTTTCAAAACCTCATCTGTTTTTAGACTTTCTGGACATTTTTGGACTTATGGAATTGGTCTAATTAGGATGGACCTCTTGGGGATTAGAAACAACAACAACAACATTATATTAGATAGTTATTAATTATATAGTAACTTATGCAGAGTGCAGACATATTTATATAATTTTTAGTGACCCTTGATTCCTATGAATAAGGAATATTTATGAAAAAAATCTTAGTGATAATAATTATAGTTATTTCCAGTTGATAGGCGCTGGCCTATCTGTATTTAAAATAAATAATATTAAGTTATGCAGTGTATGGAGGTGTGACCTATATGGTAGTTTCCTTTTCCCATAAACCTTACGAATTACTCCATGTTATCCCCAAAAATTATAATATTTTTTTTGTTTTTAACTATTATTTTTTTCATTAAAATGTGGAGAGGTAAGTTTTCAATTGATGATGGACTATGTGACATCATCTTTGAATGTGATAACAAAATCCGCGTAAATTACGAATAATTATAATAGAGTGGTATAAATGTTTTCAACAACTATCCATACCTGCCAACCTCCAGGAAAAAAAATCCAGAAGATTTTTCTAAAAATCTAGAAGATTTTATACAGTATAAATTTGAACGCAAAATTTGAGAATTGATAATCAAAAATCTCCTTTTTTAATCTGAGAGTGAGAATATCTAATTTACAATACTAAAATCAGTTTTGTATTGTAAACATTATAAAGAATTGTACCACGGCATAAGTGTATATTAATCTATGAAGTGAATGATAGAGCTAGCAAGAATTTATATTTATTATACATCCTTAAAAACTGCTTCACACAATATATACATACTTCCAATAACTACTTCTTGGTGCAATAATTAATTTTCATTTTGTTATACATATATCATATGGAGAACACAATAAAATAATCAATAAAATAGAATATGTTTATAAAGAAATGATTAAGTTAATATAGTTATTTTCAGAAATTACCATAATGGAAAAAATATGTAATCCATAAAAGAAAAATGATTTATAAATAATAGGTTAACACAGGACTCCAACCATATTTTTAAAATTAAGGAAAAAATCCACACTTCCAAGAATGCTTCAAAACATTTTAAGTAAGCATGGATAACTAAAATAATTTGCATCCATCAGGGAGTTAACTAAAACTTACTTTTTAATATATAATATTGATATCATGGACACTATACTAAAATTAAAGAACTAATTGATTTAATAATTTCAGAAAAGATTAAATAAGTTAAAAGTGTTATAATAAAATTATGTAACAATGCATGAAATTTTAAAAAAAAATTAATATCAAGCTTTAAAAATAAAGGGTAAGCATGAAAAACAGATGTAAGATTATTCAAAAAAAAAATAAATAAAATATATTCTTTTTTTAATCTAAATTTTCACTATGGATGAAGTGGCACGTTTAGCCTTTTTCAAAACATCAGCACTAAACTTATTATCAAAACAATTTGTTTGTTTGTGACACTTCATTGTAAGAATATTTTCGAGAGTTTTTGTAGACATAGATGACCGAAACTGTGTTTTATTTTTCTTCACAACACTAAATATTCTTTCGCACTCCGCATTGCTATGGGGTATGCAAGTGATTCCCAACAACACTCTCGATATTCGGTCAAATTTAAGTTGTCCGCTGTAGTCAGTAACGGTACTCAGGTCATTTAATTGCATATCTATGGTGCTGCCTTTAAAGTTGAAAGAATCTTCAATCTGTAATGCAGTGAACTGTTTTTGGAGGCAGTCCCATGCATCTTCTTTGGTTTCTCCTTCTTTAATCATCAAAAGACAAGGAAACTTTTCAACAAAATATGCTACTCTTTCAAATGATGAGGTTTCGATATTTTTTAAGTCTGTAACTTGAGCATTGATCAAGATATCGTTATTAATGGGAAATTTTTTGATGATAAAATCACACGAGGTAGCATAATAATTCCTTATTGACAAATAAAATTTTCTTTTTTCTTTTTCATTCAACTTTTTAACTAGTTCTACCGTTTTGAAGTCAACAAACAGTTCTGAATCCAACAATTGATTAGCTTCAATATGATATTGGATTTCTAAAAGGGCTTGCCCTTTAATAACAGAAGTTTTAAGTTCCTTAAGAACTCTGTTAACATATTGTTTAAAATATGAATCGTATTGAGCTGTAATGTCGTATTGAGCTTTTCAAAATCTGTAATAACACTCAATAAAAATAAGCAATAGGCTTTGTTTAAATCTGAAGATAAAAAATGAAAAATGTTTTCTTCTCTGCTGACAGAAGTTTTGGGAGTAAACTGATTCATTTTCAGATTTTTGGAGGTTCCTTCATTTGTTTTCAGCTTCTTATTAGAAGTGCCTTCCTCTATTTCTGAATGCCTTTTTTGACTTTCTATCTTTAGCATCTTTTCACTCATTTTTGGGATTTTAAACAAAGCCAAAGATGAAGATGTTAAAGTCTTTGACTTCACTTCATCGTGAAAATATGCCAATAGTGCATCCCATTGGTCTATTACTCTGGACAGAGATCTCCCCAAGGACAACCATCGAGAGCAGACGTGCTTTAATATCTTCCTCACTTCTTCACTGTGAAGACTTTGAAACAACTTCAATTTCTCCTTCCTCTTACAACTTTTTTCTAGATAGTAATATATATCCACTAAAGTTTGATCAACATCAATGGGCAATGTTGCAGCTGCTTTTTCTGCAGCCAAATTCACTAAATGGCACAAACATCCCATTATAACTAAATTTTCGTGCTTTTCTTTGAGAAAAGAAATCACGCCATTCTTCTTTCCTAACATTACTGCAGCATTATCTGACCCAAATGCTATGCAGTTTGTCAAAGGTATCTTCAAATGCTCCAGTTCATCCAAAATAAGGTTGGATATGTTTCTCCCAGTCGAATCAAGACTTAGTTCCACTAAGGACAAAATCCTGGATTGAATTGTTGATGATTCAGCAACGTTGTAAGTCGCAACAATGGGATAAAGCTTAGAATCCATATTGTCATTGCTTCCATCTATTGCCAGAGAAAAGACAGACTTCTGAAGACTGCAAACAACTTCTTCTTTGAAACTTTTAGACAGCTCACTTACAATAGCAGCAGTTTTTGTTCGCCCGTATGAATATTTTTTTGCTATTTCTGACTTCAGAAACATTTTTTTAAACAATGCTCCTGCATGATCGGCAGCTGTCAGTGGTATATTATGCTCAATGAGAAAGCTGGTGAACAGACACTCCGCTCTAATTACATCATCATCAGCACTTGTTTTTTCGAAAAAATTACTTATTGTGGAATTTCCAGGTGCACATTTAACATTTTTAATATGCTTTTTGGATTTTAAGTGCTCATTAATATCATTTTTTCCGCCATGACAAATCATAAAGTTGCAGCTGCAAACGCTACAAAATGCGTATTTATCGCCATCTCGAGATCGCAAAATTCCAGGAAAATCACTACAGTACGATTCCTTAAATGATTGTAGATAACGTTTGCTCATTTTCGTAAAAAAGAAAACACTAGGCAAGCCTAACAATACCGTGTGCTACTAACGAAAGTAAACAGCGACACAACTGACGGTTCCCCTAACCGGCGCCAATGCGCAGAGCCCTCCATCTTCCTTCCCCTCCCCCCCATATTCAACGGACTCCTCTGAAGTTCCCGTAACCGGCGCCAATGCGCAGAGCCCTCCGTCTTTCTTCCCCTTCCCTCCCCTATATTCAACGGACTTCTCTGAGTAGGCGCGCGCTTCTTCATAAACTGACGTCACAGTAACACCCTCAGCGGAGTTGGCGAATTCTTCGAAGAACAGGTTGTTTCTCCTTACTATGGTAGCCCGCAACGCAATTTCGGCGCACATTTTAGAGCATTGCTCCGCAAAAGGCTCGTAAGCGCTAAATTTGGCGAGATTTTATTATTTTTCCAAAAACTCGGGACAAATCCGGAAGATTTTGCTCTTACCCGGAAAAACGGAAAAAAGGAAGAAAATCCGTAAAACTTCCGGAAAATCCGGAAAGGTTGGCAGGTATGAACTATCCCTTTTACAATCATTTCCACACACTTTAAGTGCAACTTACACTTTTTAGTGTAAACATTAATATATTTGCTCAAAGACTTGATTTAACAAGAAAGTTATCAACAAAAAACAGTTTAAAAAAACAAAATAAGATACAGAGCTCATACATTAGTTTTTTTGTAGTATAATGCAGAATCTTATAATACCATATTCAGCAAAAGTCATTCCATCTCTTTTGGCTCCTCTTAATGTTTCCCTTACAGCAACAGCAAGAGTACCTAATAAGAGTAAGATATATTTAATTTGAATTTGCAAGAAAAAATTCTTTGATTTCACAATAAATGATAAATAGTAAATGTGAGTAATAAAATGCATCATGACAGAATAATAGTGAATGAAGTTTAAAATTATATCTAGAATACAATTACTTTGAAGTAAAACTAATTTTTAAAAAAAAAAATAATAATATGACAAAACAATTCTACATATTTATTCAGTGCATCACAACAAACTTTCTTTTAACAAAATAAAGTGAATGCAAAGAACGGTTGCAATGAAACTAAGTGTTAACACAACCCAATAATGGATTTGGTTAATTGGTTACACTTGGAGGAGGGCTGGGTTTCATTTTATGTGATAGCCTTTAATGGATAGAAACAAACTAAATCCTTACTCAGAATAAGAGTGTTATTAAACACTGAATTAAAACAAGCTATTAAGTATAATTAAATAGAGACAAATTTTAAGAGAATTTTTTAAAACCAAATAATTATATTTAATGAATAACGATAAAGCATGAAATAGTAATTTTTACCTCCTTCAGAAATAAGAGAACCTCCTAAAACAATATATGCCTAAAAATAAATGAAATACATATATTATACAGAGCATTCCACTATGCATGGAGCAAAGTTAATTTCCAGACACAAAAAATTAAGAAAAGCCAAAATATTAAGAAAAGACATTAAGAAAATCTAATTCTTAAGAATATTTAGATGCTAAAAAAAATCAAAATTGATAAAAGATACTGATTTAAGAAATTTAAAGTGAAATAAAATTATTTTAATCACCTCACCCAATACAAGGACTCCATTGTGTTCGGATGTATTATTCCATCTATGCCATGATAAATTGACAATCCAGTACCCAAGAAAAAAATTCCAACTCCACTAACTAATGATGCAACATAACGCATATTGTGATATCCATACCTATAAAATTACGGACATATCTTTAAGAAGTTATATTATGTTTGTTTTGTTAACATAGCTATTTTGTAATACTTTCAAACATGATTGTTTTGACATTGGTATTGCTGTTCTGACCCTAAGTACTAAAAAGTCTTGGTACTTTCCATGATTTTTCAAAAGAACTTGTAACCTAGACATCTTACAAATTATTTTTAGTAGAACTTCTATACTTTTTATTATTAATAAAGAAATGAATTAAATGTCCTAGGAATTATTATAATTGAAGAAAATAAGTGTATAAATAATATTATAAAAATAAGTGTATTTTAAGTTATAAAAAAAAAACAATCTTAGGCTAATAATTAAAAAATAATTTCTTCTATTTGCAGAAAATAAGCAAAATTATTAATTTTTCATTTTTGTAGTTTGCTTTTAAATTATATTCGCTAAATTAAATCTGAAAATTATCTGTGAATTTTTTTTTTTTTTTTTGAAACATTAAGGCTTATATCTTCCCTACCTTGCGGCCAACAACGACCGTAAGTTTAGATCTGTAAATGTTACTTTTAAAATTATTTTTAACAAATAAACATTAAAATTATACTTTCTTATTTAGAAATAATCAACAAAAATCCTAGGTATTGATGTTATTTTAATGATATCCCCAACTTAAAATTTTACTAGTTTTATAAATGATGTTTTTCTCTCACAAAATAAATTAGACAATTACAAAAATATGTTTAGTTATGCATTAGAACACCACATAAAGCTGAAGCATTAGAAGTTTAGCATTAAACACCACATAAAGCTGAATGGTCAACTTGAAAAAACCGTGTAATTTTAAAGTAGCAATTGAGTCATTCAGATCCAAATTATGCTAAGCATACTTTTGAAAAAACTTAAATCTATAATTGTATCAAGACTTGTCTCAGTTTGAACATGAATATATATTTATTAATATTGACATGAGCTTAAGATTTAAATTTTTGGACAAAAGTTATAGTTAACATTAAAATGGTTTGTAATCACATTTACTGCATTTCCCATGTATCATCAAATCAATAGATAGCAAGTTCAATATCTAGGCTACTTAATTGCTATTTATATTTTAAAATAATATAAAAATGCATAAATTATAAGCTACAGCTGAAAGAAATTTTTTTAATTAATACAAATCAGCCATATTCTACTTCCAGAAGTAAAAAAAAAAATGATTAAATAAAAAAAAGTTAATGAATTACAAGATTTTAGCAGCACTAGGAGTTTCCATACGCTACTTCCAAAATATCATTTTGTTTACAAATTCATCATTCATTTAAATTAAACAAAACACTTCATAAAAATGAACTATAATGAAAATCCCATGTTTTGCATTGTTATTTTTAAAATTTTTGCAAATATATATGTTATAGATAATGCTTATGGCAACACACAATAGGTTAAATAAATGCAATTTGAAACTTTTTAGCAATAAAAAATAGCTATAAAGTAATAGCAATAAATAAATACGATAACTTGATTTCTCAATTTGTAGTATGAAATTATTTATAGCAGTTTAGGTAACAAATAATAAGTGTAATGAAACTGAATAGGCATTTAGAATCGAAAAGTAGTAGTAAAAAAACACTTTAACATGCTTTTAATTAGTAACGTATCATAAATTAGCATTTCATACACATTTTATTTATATTTATTAAACTAGTTATTTTATTTGAAAACAAAACCTTTTATCTGAAATAAATAATAAATTAATACATACGGATGATACTGAGTAGGAGTTTGAAGAGACTTTCTGATTCCATATGTCAAGAGAAGCTATTAAAAAGTATAAATGAGTATACATATTTAATCATAGTAAAAATTAAATGAGAAATGTATCATACCTGGTTACCAGTATCGGCTAATGAATGTATAGCTTCAGCAAACATACTATGAGAGCCAGTAAAGAGCCAGGCACTAAGCTTCAGAACGAAATTGGTTGCATTTCTTAAAGGAAAAAATATCTATTATAATGAGGAAAAATTCAAAAATAAACAATTAAATAAAAAGAGTAAATGAATAGTCTACAAAAAACAAACACCTTTATGAATAACCTTGAATAATTTACAAAACAATTATCAGAATTAGTGACTATATTTAAGGTATACATATTACAACATAAAATTGCATTCTAAAATGAAACATACTCTGTTTTTTCCCCGTTACATTTGCAGAGTGTACACTTTTAAGCACGAAATAGATTGAACCAGAAATAGAAACTTCTACTTTATATGATTTAAAATAATAAACATTTTGAGTTATTTTAAATGTAAATGACATACAATACCTATATCTATATACCAACTTCTAACAGTGCTTTTACACAGTTGTGGATAAAGTTTCCCTTAGTAAGTAGAATAATTTTTCATACAAATTTAAAAATGAAACATTTGATAGGTCAGAAAATGTCAGGAGTAATCCTTTGTGATATGATATTGATTAAGAGGAAACTATGTTGAAACCAAAGTATATTCATTAAATTTCGGATGCTTTTTGGTGCAAAATGGAACAACTTCATCAGCAGAATAAAATGGTAGAAATGGTTAAAACAGAGATAAAGCAAATCAACAGCTGCAATTGACAGCAATGATATAAATTAACAATCATAGCTAGCATAACATATTGGTTTGTATTATCTGATTTTACCATTCATGCCATTTTATCCTGTCACTGAAAAGTCAAACTGGTTCATTGAAAGGCTCCTTGATTTTAATTTACTACTTGTATACATATTGTTTTTACGTTATCATTTAATAGGCATTCCATGACTTATATCTTTTCAAAATGATAAAATAAGCTCCAATACATTTAATAGTAAAAAAAATTAATAAACAAAATTTATGAAAGTATTGTAAGGTTTGCTTCCAATTAAACTTACAAAACATTTAAATAAATTAGTCCTAACATGAAAAAGAAAAAGCTTTTTTCCAAAAGTTCCATTAAGAATAAAGCTGTAAATCACAAATTGAAAAAAAAAATGAAGGAAATGATATGGAGACATTTAAAAAAAAAAGGGGGAATAAAAGTGGATAACAGCAGTTTTAAAAACTTTCTGCAATTTAATTCATAAATGGAACTTAAACTTCACAGTAGTTGTCATAATTTAAAGTAATTGTTAAATATAATGTATTATATATTAAAAAATTTATAATGCATTATATTTAATAAAAAAATAATTATTTGAAGGAAAATCTAATTAACCTATAATTTATCAAGCAATGCTTATTTTTTTAACTTTAAAATTCAAATAATTTAAAAACATAAAAATGATATGATTAAAATTGCATATGATAAAAATAGCATATTTTAATTATTTAAATTAAATCACTGTTAGAAAACATAGTCAATAGTGCAACTGAAAGACTTCAATACCAAGACAACTATATTTGCAATATAGTTGTCCACACAGTTGCTAACTTATAAACACTATATGCACTCTAGTAAATATCACTTCACTGAATCTTTTTGAGCCAGTATCTACATAAAGACTTTTACTATAGTACATAATATAGAAACAAACAATGATCATAGCACTTTTTCAAGGGGGGGTGAACAAAAAAGTACAGAATAAACAGTTCAGAGAAAAAGTACTGATACTTGGAAAACAGAGTGAGGAAAAAGAACTTGGCCATTATAAAGCAAATATTATTTTTTTTTAAAAATTAAACAAGCATTTCAAAATTATTAAACAATTATTTCAAAATAATTAATAAAATAGCAAATAATTTTTACTTTTGTACATCAAAAAATTCTTAAGATACATAATATGTATAATGCTTACTAATAATTATACATATAGTCTATATTTTTATTAAAAAAAAACAAATAATATAATTTTAATATTTTTTTGTGTTTCTCCAAATTGATAATTTTTTGACTTGTTGCATTTTGAGAATAGTAAGAATTTTCAGGGGAAAATTAATATTTACAATTATGCAAAATATCATATCAATGACTGATTAAATTTAAATTTTTCAAAGTTTCAAACAGTTTTTATGGTTTAATTATTTTTACAGACTCATAAGTAGATATCTTTAGTTTTAATTTTTAAATCACATAATTTTTTTAATTATCTTACATTTAAATGTTTTGGCTTTAAAAAAAAATATTTGCTTAAAAAAAAATAATATACTTACATTATAACAGCAGTCATCACAACTCTACCAGATGTCCTCAAGATCATTTCTTGACGCTACGAAACAATAGCATCATAAAATGACATCATAGAATTATACAAAAGGAATTACTATAAACATTTTATAAACCTTAAATATTATTTTAATTTAAGGAGTATTCTGCAAACAATATTTGAAGAACTTTATAGCCCCCAATTATTATATACATCTTTAATACTTACTTCAGTACAGAAAAATTACTTTACGAAATAAAAAGACAAAATCAATTTTCAGCCAATCATAGTTTATTAAATTTATTTTTAAACTAACACTTATTGTATGAAATTTTCATCAAGATTTTTCATATTTTCAATGAAATGTATTTTTTTATTGAATAATATAGGACAGCTAGTCTTTACATACTACTGCCTTAATATGGTGATGACATAATAAATAAATTAAAATTTCTCCACAAGCTTAAAAAATAGTAATATTTTTGCTTGTAGTGAAAATACTAACAACTAATTTACTAACAAAATGAAAATAGTCCCCCTCCCTGAATATTTTTTTTGCTTTTATCATTAAAATAATTACATTTTAACAAATGTATTAAAATATGTAATAATTGCAATAAAATTTCCTGCCGAATACAGCAGATTATATCAAAATCAATAATAAATATCTCTAAGTCAAAATGACTAAAAATGCTTCATTGTAAGGGATTATGTTAAATAAATTAATTAATTGTTAATATTATTGATACGTCAAAAAGTTTTTATATTGAAAAATGAAAAAGCATTAAACACAATTTAAAATTAGTTGAAATTTGAATAAAATATCCATCTTAGTTAGGAATCCTATTAAAGCAAAATCTGCAATACCTTACGTTCTTCTTCATGCATTGTGGAACGGGAATATTCTTTCAAAATCTTTTTCACATGGAAAATATCTAAAGAAATTTAAAGTAAAATGAAAAGCAAAACTCACTATCATGTAAAAAAAGTATTTAATATGTATTTCAACATAGTATATTAACAATTAAGATTTCCTTACACATATGTTCATCACTTTCATAAACCAGAGGTTCTTATTACAACACATGCAAATAATTAGCAAAATATAAAATAATGACAGGAATCTATTTCAATGGTGTTCTATTCCTTTAAAGGTAAATTAGTGGCAACATTTTGTCCCATTTGCTGAGCAAGAATAGATACAAAACAAAAAAATATACAGACAAGAGAAACAAAGTATAAATTAAAAGTTATTTTTGCACATTGACAAGGTAAATAAAAATTTATGATATTAATTTAATTTTAAGTTCACAAGCATCATTTTAATTTTTATAATTTCTCTTTTTCGAAGCTTTAAAAAAAACTCTTCATATATTTGCAGCAAAGAACAAAAAATAGGATTGATTGCTAGTTTTGAAGAAATTTCCCAATGAATAAGGACATTTTCAGACTTGCTTGTTCAACACAAAATATTAATTATTCAAAAATACGAACCTATCTTAATCTATGACATGCCTATGTCAACATTTGTCTCTTATCAATAATTTTAAAGTGCAAGTTAATTAAGAAAATGGATCACTTTTCTTTACAGTTATTCCACTTTTAAAAGTTCTTTGATATTTTTCTCTGAGCAGTTATATAAAATTTCAACAGAACATGACACACTCACTGGCAGTTACATACCAGAGAGAGATGAAATTTTTACTGATATTTTCTATCAACAAATCATTAAACAGCAATTGTATTTTTTTTTCTAAATAATTTTAAGAAATAAATCCTGTTTGCATGTAATGCTTGTTATTCAAGATCAAGAATTTATGCATAAAATATTTAACTTTAATTATATCTTTTGAAACTGAGCTGAGCTAAACTTTACTTACATACAAAATAGCTGAAAATTTACTAAGGATAATAAGAAAAAGTGCATTATTAAAGAGTTAAGTGCTAGTATTAACACTTTAATAATTCTTATATGCTGAACTAATTTTAACCAGAAAAGAAACATGAATCTTGAAAATTATTATAAAGGTAAAAGGTTTGAAAAACCAAAGATATGAACAGCATAATACAAGAGACATAAAAAATAAGTTTCAAAAATTCTTATAAAAACGAAATCAATATTAATCTTTACACAATAAATATTAAACTGAAATATTTGAGCATTATAAAAACATACATCTTTTTGCAACTATAAACATTAATTTAGTAAACTAGAGATTGTACACTAAATATCATATTTCAAAATACATTTTACTAATTAAAAAGGTTTGTATGAATTCTTACAAAACTATTTAAAACGAAAAAGAAATATTAAATAAATAAGCTCATAAATATTTAATTGAAAAAATGCACTTGTTTCTGAGTTAAACCTGACTTTATTTAAAATACTAAATGCACTTTCATAATATAGTTATTTCTTGGAAAGTACATGAGGTAGGTGTGATAAGTTGTAACAATAGAACCTTATTTAAGTAACAAAAAGAAATTATAAAAAATACAATATTAAATTTGCATACTATTATCAGTGGCGTAGCCAGCGGAGGGGGCAAGAGGAGACAGCTGTCTCCGAGCGCTGTTTTGGAGAAGTGCCAAATTCGAAAAAAAAAAAATAATAATAATTTTCAAAATAAAATGTTTTTTTTTTTAAAATACATCTAGCTTAATTTGCTAATTAGGTCTGATTTACCTAAAAATCGAATTATTATTGTAGTTTGCTGTTCACGCTAGTTTCCTTTTTGTTGGCAAATTGCTGACATATTGAAAGAAAATTACAAAACTGCCCTAAGAAATGCTGATCAATTAATTAATCAAAAAACAATAACCACAATCAAAAACACCTAAATGTTATTGAAACTAAGTTAATATCATAAACTGAGAAATTTTAAAAAGAAATTGAATGATTATAAATGAATTGGAAGTTTGTGAAGTTATCGAGTTTTGTTGTTTTAAAATTTCAAGATTTCATACAATATAATAATTGCGGTCATGGTCTCCATTTTTACCTAACCTAAACCTTAAAATGGTCAGGAAGCCTGAGATCATATTGTAAAGAAGAGCAAATACAGAGTTTCTCGAGGCTGCTCCAAATCCTAGCTATGCTTCCCACTGTTGTGAGCAAATATTTTCAGCAATGAATTCTATATTGGATTGTAAGAAACCACCCCATTTCTGATTTAATACAAGTTAATAACCTAAAAGCCAATATAATTACACAATGTAATTCTATGATTTGAAAACACAGCAGTGGATCACAGAGTGTATTTTAAAAAGAAAAATTAAAGGTAGCACAATAGGCACCTGAAAATAATAAACGCAAATTTAATTGGCACACAGATCAAAAAAGATTCACCATCTCTGGATTAGACAAACAAATTGTCCAGAAAGGTAAAAATAGAATTTGTTATTATACTTAAAATTATTTTAAAAAGTGAATTTTGCTAAATGATTCGTAAATAATTCAGTTAATAAACTTGTAATAGCATTTTTCAGAATTCATGAAAATAATTCAACATGGCTTGCACACTTTCCTTTTTAAACATGTGAGTATTCAGTTTGTTTTATATTGATTTTTTCTTTCACACTTAACTTACCTGAACTCATTCAAATGTCTTTTTGTAAAAAAGAAATATTAAATTAATGAAAGATATGAATACATATAAGGATTTAAATAGAAAATGCACAGATATAAAAATATGAACTAAAAATGTTCTATAACACTGTTTCAATGCTACACGTACTATTTCTATATTGCTCTTCTTCTTCTTGACGCTTTTTCAGTTCACGTTGCAAAGCTTCTTGACTTCCCCAGACTTCCATTGACCTACAAATTACATGCATTCATAAATTCAAAATTTATAAATTTTCATTCCAACTAGATTTTATTAACAGCTATTTTTTAATTTTACTACAAATTTAACATATTTTGAACAAGAAATGTTTCTAGGTTACATACTTTTGCTCAATATCTCCACGTAGATAAACAGTAATAGGAGGATTATCTTCAAATGGGCTACGTCTTGTAATTGTTCTCAATGATTCCAAGTCGCTAAAACAATTTATAAAATATTTAAGATGTCATACTTGAGTTTACAGCCCACAAAATAAAAAATTTAATATCCTAAATAACTCTTGATCTAATGATCATGGTTCAAGGGCCTAGCTTTAATATACTAACTAATTAGTGCAGACAATATTTTAAGTAAAAAAATAATTTTAATAAATAAAAGTTCTCTGAATAAACATACCTTTTTTTTCTTTGGCAGATTTGAATTCTCAACCCTCAAAATATAGGAATAGCTGCAATCTGGTACACATGGTCCCAATAGTTTGAATAGTCGAAAGATTAGACCCCTTAATGTTAAATTTACTTTTTGCCATAACTAGAAAACTTTTTAAGCAAATTGAAACATTTTTGCACAAAATTATAAATTCAAAATATTTTCCCACAATTATTTATCCAAAAATAATTCGATGCAAAAAATAAATTTTAATAATTATTTAATAATAGAAAAAAAACTTTTGAATTGTAAGGTATATAAATTCTTTTATTAGGTAATTTTAGACTGAAAAATATATAATTTAAACATAATCAGTCCAGTGCTTGAGAAATTAAATTTTAAGTATACAAATTTTGAAAATTTGATAACTCAAAGACAATTTGACCAACTGCACTCAAATTTTACTTTGCCATTTAAAAATACATTCTTTAAAATGATGTAAAAATTTGTACACATTACAATGCAAATTTTTTAATTATTATTGAATAAAATAATAAATAACTGTTGCTATTATTATTTGCATGGCACTCTTTTTGGATAAATGCGTGTTCTGATTGAGTGTAAAAATTTTTCGATCCCCTTAAAAAGCTCTCAAGATATGGCTAAATATGCAAAAGTAAAATTAACATATAAAGGGGTCCAAATTTTTGACTGTGCTCCTGACCATACTACTACTGTGCAAATGAAAAACTTATAAATAAAAAAAAGTAAAATAGAATTTCAGGAAACTGATAAAATAAAATTATTTTTGAAAAACATTCGTTTGCAATATGTAGCTTATCAAATATATAAAAATCTCAATTTTGACTCTTTTGTCCTGTAGGATGATCTTTCTATTGCACAGTTGACTACTGGGACCATAATTTTTAGATTGAAGCTACCTCCCCCCACACTTTGAAAGTCAAAAATCTGAATGCATTGAGAAAAATTATGTTTCAGAGATTTTTTGTCTGACTTCATAACTTAAAGCATCGCATTTGCTAATATATGAAAATCCAATCATTATATCAAAAGTTATTCAAGGAGTTCACTCATTTATTTTGAGAGTATAAAAACATTAAGCAGCAGAATAAAATTAACAAAATATTATTTTATAACTCAGGAGAAATACCATAAAAGAAAACCTTCGAAAAAAATTACTATAAATATAAATATAGAGAGAAAGAGTTAAAAGTAAAATACAGAAGACTCTCTTAACTCCCTACATTTAATGATGAAATTGGGACTGAAGCACAAGCAAGTAGGGTGTAAAAAAATCTATCAAATCCTTTTCATTTTCTAAATGGAATCACTGAATAGGTATCAAGCATTAAAGGGTTTTAAAATACTTACACCCTTAAATAGATTTTAGGATGCATAATTTAAACATATTTCAGGGCATATTTATACAAATACGGTACAGAACCCGTTATCCGGAAATCAGAAAACCGGAAACCAAAAAACCGGAACGAAATTCAATACATTTTCTCGCCATTTTAAAAAAAAAAAAAATTTCCTCATAAGATTTTACGATTTTTCTTTCTTTTTTTAAAGATGTTTACTTTACCATCATATTGGAAATAATCATTAGTGTATTACTTCATCGTTTTTTCTTATTTTTAAGATTATTTCCAAATATTTTTTTTTTTAGTTGGGTTTAACTATAAAAAAACGGCTTTTCGTAGCGATTCAGGAAACCGGAAAAATCAGTTATCCGGAATAGCGATGGTCCCGGCCGTTCCGGATAATCGGTTCCCTACTGTACATCTTTATTAATTGACTTCTTATAGTAAGGACAAAATTTAATTTTATAAATTCTTCGCATCTAGTAATTTGGTTAAAGATTATGTATGCCATAAGTGTTGCTTGTATTTAACTTATAAAAGTTATATCTAAATGAAAAACCAGTTAATTTAATAATAAATAATAATTTATAGTAATGAATAATAATAATTCTTATATATTTTTAAAAATTTTCCAATCAAAGAAATTTTTTTAAAGGAATTCTTATTACTGACTCCACAATGGATAGAGGTAACAAACTTGGATCTGCTAGGTTAGTGATTAAAATCATCTCTCAGGGCACTTTAATAAATCTCCCTTATTTTTTAAAATTGAATTTAAATAAGTTATTTTTAAGTTTGTGCCATTTATAAATTGCTTATAATTGTTGAAATATATTTATATTGGTTGATTAATAATTTGCATCCCCTTTAGCATTTAAATGAATTGATTGAACAAATTCAACTAATTGGTTCAGATCATTTTTTTTCTTAGCCATATTTAATAGTCCTGATAATTTATATCATTTTTAATATCATTTAATTTAGATTTATATTCAAAAAGTTACACTAGAAAAAAACCCACCAGGGAAATAAACAAGTGTTAATTAATTATTGAAAAAAGATTTAAAAAAGAAAAAAACATATTGTTCTGAATTAAAAATGATTATAAATTTTTCAAACTCTTTTACATCAGATTAATTTCAACTTTGATTGCATTGAGAACCTTCAACAACAATTCCTAATAACATTTTAACGCATAATATTGCTTAATTCAAATGATTTCTAATCTCACTAATAAAGGGTTTGATTTCTGTAGGTAAAAATTTTCTATTATTAATTATTTTAAAAAGCACAGAATATAGAAGCAGAGTAACAAAATATTTTATACAGTAGCACCTCATAGGGACAATTAATTGGAAACAATAAATGTCAGAAAATGAAGAATGCAAGCTATCAAAATATCAAATAATGATTTTAAAATTCATGAATTTACAATAAATACAAAAACATTTCAATTAAAAAATGCGCAAAAGGAATATGAATAATCACTTATTTTTTTTTTTATCTTTCTTTATATAAAATATTTAGAATTATTTAGGAAAAATAATTAGAAATTTTGGTTTGAACACTTTTCTTTTCAGCACAAGCAATAGATTTTTGAAATTAGTAATAGATTGAAGTCCATTTTTGGTAAATTCGTGTGATTACAGAAAAATCCTCATTGTTTCAAAGGCTTAGGCAGTTGTTAGAATTGGTTGTGATTCCCTTTTGTGGTCATTAATATCACTTTGCACATCAGTGTTGGCAGAATTTTTAACTGATAGATGCAGGAATTAGCTAGTTTAAAAAACGATTTAAGCAGGTTTTATTAACATTATAAGAATATCATTTGTGACATTAGATCAAACAAATGCAATAACTTAAGCATAATGCAAATACCAAAGAAACAAATTTAACACTATAATTTTTAATAAATAAAAAAATTTTAAAATTTGAACATAATTTTTTTAGTTTTTCATTTATAACCTTGGTTTCAGCAGGTACTCATTCATAGCTCGGATCGGAGTGATAAAATTTCTTTCTGTGAAAGATTTTGAGAAATCCATCTTCTTTCTCTCTTCCTTTCTTTTCTCTAAAAAGTATACATAACAAAATCAAATAAAGTAATAATTTAATATATATTTGACACTAATATAGCCACTAACTTACTGGATAATGCCTGTTGAGCTTCATTTTTCGCACTTGCTTTAGGTATTTTAGAATTATCTTTGCCATTCTTTACCTCACTGACAACATTTGACAAATGGAGATTTCTAGTGAAACATAGATGTTTCTGCTGAATTCTTGAAAACCAAAGATTACTAGTTTGGCATGTTTTAGGAAATATATAAAACAAGCAGCTCTCTGAACCTATTAAATAGTAATAGAGAGTTTAAATTCTCTTCATCCAATTTCATGATAAATTCATGAAATTAAAAATATTAAAACTAAGTTTATGTAATGTAAAGCATGACCTTTTAAAAACTTATTTAAATTTTATAATAAAGGGAAACTATTTCCTAAAAATAAAACTATCATTAATAATGGTTACATTCATAAACTTTGATTAGACATTTTTTTTAAAATCTTAAATTCAAAATTATATAATGAATACTTATAAATTTCTTAGGCAAATAAAATATGCACATAAAAAAAACATTTTACAACTTAAAAGAAAATAACTATACCTATTGTTTTGTGTATTAATAAAAATTTTCAATCCCTAAATTCGAATGAAAAAAGGGAGTACACCAGTAGTAAAATTGGGCATCTATTTATTTAATATTATTATCATTACATTTAATAAGATGGATCTAGTTATACAATTTTTTTTAGGTATAGTTGAAAGAGTACTAAAATTGCTTGCCATGACTTAGCCTGCTCTGTTATATTGTAAATTGAATCTATATAAACTATTAAAAAGTAATACTAATTATAAACTAAATGCATTCACAACATATCTTATTATTAAAAACAAATTTATTGTAATGACTTAGAATTATATACACACACATGTATACGTATATATACACACAGTGAAACCCCAGTTAAACGGACATTCTTGGGACCGAAAAATTTTTCTGCTTACGAGAGTTGTCTGTTTACGGGTTAGGTACCTTGATAATGAAATTTAACACTGTAAATTGTTTTTAGAATATATTCTAAGATATAGAAATAATTAAAAAATCTACAATAACTATCTACAAGGATATTTATTTAAACTTCAAAAAAAAAAAATTCTATGCAAAAAGAATATGAAATTGATACAAATACATAATTCCAGATGTAGCTACAGAAAAATGAAAATAATTTTCCTATTAACACAGATATTCAAGTTAGTAACATGATACTGAATAGGAGCTTTTAGTCCTCAGTTGGTTTCAGTTATTAGGTTTACACCCCCTAACACCTACCTATCACTTCATAGGAAACGTCGTTAATACCTCCTTGAAAGTAAGCCTCCCTCGATTCACAGAAGAAAAAAAAGCAATGCATACCTGTAAAGCATGAGGACCTATGGAATTGATTATTCACAATTGATCACCTATCAAGTGACTGAATAAATGTTTCATTGTATATGAACAACTCAAAGATTATACATCTGTTCTCTTTTTTTACCCCAGCTGTGTAAAATACAGTCTTCAAATTGATAAGAAAATTAAAAAAATTTCTTATCTATAAGCCTATTCTTTATAAGAAAATTAAAGAAATTTTCAGTGGAGAAAAAGCATTGAGCATATTTAAGACTTCATTTCAACATGAGGGTCTCATAACCTATGTGGTCGAGATGAAAAAATGCCGCTGTTCAAATTATTTCACAAGAGCAGTATCATTTTCTCTCCTTTCTTTGCAAAATAAGGCAAGATGACAGAAGAAAGATTGATACTTTAGTAGTGAAATAGTTTAACAATATTTTTAGTTATGGATAAGGAAAAAAATTTACATGCTTTAAAAATGGTGAAAAGTTGAAATTTTTTCTTGCAATTCAAAGTATAAATATTTTGTATTAAAAAAATTTAGAAAAAGTAGTGTCTGGATTAAAGAGATAGAAAATGTTTCAGGGCAAAAATGACTGCCTGCCTCCGGTTACCCGAGTGCCTGCTGTGCGGAGAATGTATTTAATGAATTATTCATCGAAGATTCTCAGGGAATTAAAAATATGACCATAATTAAAGGGGCTCGTTTTGCAGGAGTGTCCATAACAGATTTCACTGTGTGTGTGTGTATATATATATATATATATATATATATATAAATAACTATGAAAAATGAGTTTAAGTCATATATATACTGGTTATACTGTTATATTTAATTTTTTTTCTGAACAAAATGCACAATTAGTCATATTTTTAATTGTTTTAAATACTGAAGGAAATGAAGATACAAAACTATTAAAACACATATATTTTTTTAGTAAAATACGTATTTTTAAAACCAATGCTCAACTTTGCAACATTTTTATATAAATAATAATAAATTGCATTAATACTGCAAATATTTTCCTTAATGATCCTTTTTTAACAACCACAAATAAATTTCAGGTACAGCTCAAGTTTTTTAAGCCTATTCTACTTGACTCATACAGTTTTATCTACTTTCATAAACTACAATTTGGCAACGCACATTAAAAAATTTTTAGATTATTTTTAATTTTAACAACATAATGCATAAATACTATGTTCAAATGTTGTAATATAGTACCGAAGATGTGAATATTTTAAAAAATTATGTCTTATTAGGTTTTTTTTTCTTTCATAGAATAATTATAAATTATTTCTTTCGTTAATTCATTTTTAACATTTCATAATATAAGGATTCTAATTACTGTCTAAGACTTATACCAAACTAACTTTTATCATGAAGTTTTGACAAAAGAGCAAAATTATTTTTAGGCTGATTATTTATTTTATACATTGATTTTTTTTCATTCATTGATTTTTTTTTATTCATTGATTTTATTTCATCTTATAAACATTGTTGAACAGCCGACTCAATTTTGAGTTTACGACTATCAATGTTCAACTTTGTAGCGTAACAATTTTGAACCCAATTTAGTAGACAAGTGAAGTACTGAATCAAGAATTGGGAGAAATTTGCTTTTGTGGAGGACTTTTTGATGGAACTAACCCACATTTGCTTTAGATCAAGAGAAAAACTACGAATTTCTTTTTTCAATTCTGACGTTTTTAATACGCTAGTGTATGGCTTGTGAATTTCATATCCCGTCCATGAGTGTACATTTTCTAAGGCAGTTTATACACGATGATCCCATTGAAAATTTACAGTTTACTCCATCGCTTTTTTGACTGTTATTGCTACAGAATATAATTGTTTTTCATATCCTAATTTTTGTTGTAAAAATATTATGACAAGCAAAATTTAAACCCTTCATTTGAGAAAGCCTTTATTGATTTGCTCGATTCATGGCAATATTATATCATTGCAGTAATGCATGGTTAATATTGCATATTACAATATACACTGCACTACATATTACATGCTACAGACTACAAGATACATGGTCTCGTTGATCATTACTTTAGCATTTATTGTCATGTATTTTATTAACCACAAAAAATAAATAATAATAATAACATACATAATTATTTTTGCATAAAAATAAAAGTACTATGAAGCATGAATTTCAAATTACACATCTGAGTAATCACCTTTTTATAAGCTCATTTAACTACAATTTCATATAAGATCTCCACAGTTTTGTTGATCACTTTTTCATAAGTTATTGCAACAGATTTATCTTTATTATGAAATTATTATATGATTGTAATACTTTTTATGATACGGTCAATCTGAAAAAAGCTCAAATAAATTAGGTTATTTTTCATTCATTCAGTGCTGCCTATTTACATTATAGAGCAAGCTACTTTTGGTTATCGTATATAAAAAATGTAAACGATTCTTAGATAACCTAAGATTATTTGTTGCAATTTTATTTTTAAAGAAATCACTATATTTCTTTTTTTTCTTGGCAAAATATTGTTGCCTTAATTTCATAGACATGAGCCCTTTTTTCAAAAATAAGCCGCCATCCCAGAAAACCACTTCTTTTTTATTCATATACCATTTTAAAAGACATTGATTTTCTGTAATAATTACTCTGGTAAAATTATCTGTGTTTATAAGTTTAATTCCATTTACTATTAGAAATATTTACTCTGTTAAGATTATTCTCTACGGGCTAAATTTTTTTGAGTTTCTTTTTTCGGAAAGATATTAATAAATTTTAGTGATTTTAAAAGTATTTCTAAAACAAATACCTTTTTTTTTCAATAAAAAAAAACTGCACCTATAAATGTTCATTTTCTCATAATTTTCAGTTTAAATTATAGAAAAAAGCTTTCAAGTTATTTTTCAATTAATCATTTGTTAGTTTACTTTTTTGAGAAAAAAAATATGCAGAGAGAATGTCTTTTGCATGTGTTTAATTACTTTTATGAACTACAAATTTTCCTCTTATTTTTATGAGATAGAATTATTTTTCGAAATACACAAATAAAATAATATAAGAGGGTAATTTAAAAATTGTAGAGGAAAAAACTTAGTTACTACATAATATTACACATTTTAATAAATTTTTATGGTGCCCCTTTCAGAGAGAAAGCGCACAGTCCTTTTTTATTCCTAGGGCGAACTTTGTTTTCCAATGAGAGTGGATAGGATACGAAAAATCAAAAGAAGCAAATATGTTTTATCCCACAGAGCTTACATGATTTTTTATGTTTCTCACATTTATATTTATAGTGATGCTTTCAATAGAATAATACAGAAAAATAAATATTATTGTTTTTAAAATTCTCATAAAATATGAAATTTAATCGAAACAGTGATTATATTCAATGGATCAAATTACGGGAAGAAAAACAGCATATTTACTATTTACCTTTAATTTCATCCAATTTCCAGTAGAATTTAATGGCAGCAGGATTGTTAATCGGTACAGTAGAGGAAAGAATACGACTGAAACATAAGCGTAACTGTGAAAACTTTATACTTCTTTTACAAACCACAACTTTAAGCATATTTTTCCCCAACGATCTCAGCAATCTAAAATTTAAAAAAATCAATTAATTTTTTTATAAATTAAAAGAAAAACTTAAAAATTTATGAAATCAATATATAATAATTAATTCGTAAACAGCAACAACAAAATATTGTAATAAAATACCTAATCAACAATTAAATGCAATTGCTAATAATTAACTAATAATAAGAATTCATACTATTTTTAAGATCATTTTAAGTGTAAAAAATAGTTTGTAAAACCTAATTAGGGCAGCTAATTACAGGTACATTATTTTAATTGTTTATTTCATAAGATGCCATAAATTTTGCATTTGAGCTATAACTTTTTTTATTAATAGAAGTGGAATGACAAATGACCAAGTGGAATAAGTGCCTGAATTTCATCGATACATTGGACACAGTAAAAAAAATTCACAAATTAGACCCAAGAAACCCACCTTTTTAAGACAAAAATGTTTTTCAAAAGTGCTGATACACTTTACATATGAAGACAAAAGCACTGCTAAATTTTAAATGCTGTGGACTTAGGAACAATGTTAAAGTAAACTTTACAAATTACTACTGCAATAGTTATAGTTTATGTACATAAATAAGCCTTACTTTTAAAGGCTACCATTAAAGTATTCAAAATTAATTTCAAAAATTTGTGATGACAAACCTATGTTTATTTGGAAAAATATTCTCAAATAATGTTAATCTTCAAAATAGTGTCATACATTTTGCATTTCAGCTGTATTTTATTTTTTATTTTTAACAATGGAGATTTTTAAAGAGAAATATGGGCTACAATTTTAACAGAATAATTGTCAATCTTTTAAACAGTATCACACATTTTACATTTCAGTAATAAATGTTTCATAAATGGTAGAAGAACATCAAGTTTTATAGAAGAATATGTCGTAAAATTTTTAACATTAAAATAGACAGTTTATAAAGTTAAATAGTTCATTGCTCTTTTAGTTTATAAGGTGGTAATTGCTAACATAATGAATCCCTAAACTAATATTGTACTTGTTTTTTGTACTTATATTTAATTAATATTTAGTCCACATTCTTCCCCCTTTCCCGCCAAAATAATAATAATAATGTACTATTTTTTAAATTTAGCTCCAATCTGGTTTAGTACTAAATAATGTACAACAAAACAGAAAAAGAAATACTATTTAACAGATACCATGTTTGATGCTTTCATTTGTCATTAAAAAGCTTATTTTTTAATTCAAGCAAACAATCATATATCATATTCAAATAATATTGAATTTCATGAAAATAAGGAAAAAGATAAAATCACATTGAATAATACTTATTAGTGAACAATATTTTGGGACAGAAATGGTTATCAAATGTTTACAATGGATAATGTTTTAATATTGTATCATTTTTGAATGACTTAAATAGTTTTTATGAATTCTTTTAAGAGATATTATCAATAAACCCTCCCTTATTATTTCTCTTGCATAACATACTTGTTACATTAAATAACATACTTGTGCCTTTTGTAGTATTAAAAAATTTTAAACTAATACTTTTAACTGAAATAAACAAAAATAAATTTTGGTACATACCAAGGGGTTTAAACTAGTAAATAGACCACAACTTATCCCTCAGAACATGGCTTGCACTATATGCAGTTACACTGATAAACCACACTTAAAATTTTATGAGCCTGAAGCATTTAAAACAATTATAAAAATACAATAAATAAAATTCTTTTATTTAAAAATATAAACTAAGAAAATAGAAACAAACTAAGAAAGAAACAGCTGAATGAAAAGCAGTGCATATATTATTACTTGCTTATTGCTTACTGTCTTATTCCTTACAAAATCAAAGGGCTAATCCAATTATAGCTAATAAAAAATTTCTTTTCTTAAAACCACAATATATCTAAACATACAGAATGTTCCATAAAAACTACCTTAGAATGTTAATTTTATATATCTTATATAATTAAAAGTTTTTTGCAAATTTTAATTTCTCTCAAAATTTAATTTCATTGAATTAAACTTTGAAATTTGACTCTAAATGGATCAATTTTTAAATTTGTCTCTTTAGCATGGACATAGAAATAAAAACATAGTAAAAGAAACTTAGGAAAAACTTTTAAAATTTTTTTTAATCTCTAAACATTCCTATTGTTACAGAGTAAACCTATTTTAGAATTTACAATTTGCAAAAAAATTCCTATCAAACTGAGTCAAAGCTCTGCATTTACTCCATCAATGCTTTCGTAATTAAAATACTCAATATTCCTCTGATGATAATACTGAATACTCCAGACATAAAATGAAAGTGTTGATTTAAATACAATATAATTTTTTAGACAGATAAATAGTAGGTACTTTATGGATGAAAACATGTGTTATCATTCATATGCATTAAAAAAAGATGTTTGTTCATGTAAAAGTTTAATTCAAACAACAAACCTGGCAAACCATCTAAAAATTTTAAGATTTCTTGACTCCTGATATTTATTATACTCATATTCACTATCAAACACTTTGCATGTGGGGGTGCATTTTGCTTCGTTTTCAAATAACACTTTTTCTTATTCAAGGAAGATTTCTTTATTTGTACCAAAACCAAAGAAATCACTAAGTTAAAGGGTAAATTAAACTGTAGCAAGAGAAAAACTAATAAAAAAAATCATAAAGGACATGGTACTGGAAGAGTATAGCTTGTAACCAACCCCGGATATAACACTACATATATTTTTTTATTTAATTTTTGCATGTATAGAAACTATTAGGAGAGGGTAGTTGAAGTGAAAAAGTTCTTATAAATATCCTCCTCGAATGGATCCCTTATTCTCACTTCTAGTGTATTCATAATCCATATTTTGAACACTTTATCAATATTACTTAATTCATAATCAGCTTTGTATTTTATTTTCTGTTCAGACACATATTCCAAAAATAATCTTTTTTATGTGCGAAAGAAAGTGGTAGGTACAAAATAGCTCATTTTAAAATACTTTATTACACCAAGAAAATTTACTCAGATTTTCAAATTTCTTTATAATTCAGATATAAAAATCTAATTTTCAAGGAATGAAAATTTATCTTAGCACTAAAAAAAACTAAGCAATACATTTCAATCACCCAAAAGTCTGGATAATAGCAGTCCTAACAAATCGGCCTTAACATAACAACTAATTACAGGATAAACTGCCATTTCAGGTTTATAACTTAATTATTAAGTTCGAAACCTGAATATATAATAGTCAATGTAATAGGTACATTATTACTCTAAAGTATATGTAGTAGCAATAACTCTGCTGCTGCATATTCTTCAAAGTTTATGCCGATGAATAACAAAAGACAGACAATTTGGGACAACAAATCTACTTTAACTAAATAAATGAAGCATTGATGCTAAACATCTATATTAGAAAAAAATTGAATCTGAAAATAAAGGCATTAAAAAGTATTTCGGTTTACAATATTCATAACATTTTGTCATGACGATCTGAACATTTCATATTTGTACAAAATAATTATGAGCCAAATTAGCATTACTTTAAGTTTTTTTTTGAAAAAACTAAAATAATTTGTATCAAAAATCTAAATCTTTAAGATAAAGAGTGACATTACGACAAATAAAATCACTCACACTTACGTCAAATCAAACTAACACATTTCTCAGATTGTAAACATTACAAAACAAAACAGAACCCAAAACAGGTGATACGAGATGAGGCAGAAAGAATAAAGCGCCAAAAGGAAGACTATCACCGGAAATAACAAATTTGCGAAATGCTGTGGAGAAAGAGTTATTTTTTTTTTTCGCAGTAAAATTCCAATTTGAGATCTAAAAGAATAAGTTATAATTTAAAAATTTAATTAGATCCCCACAGCATTACAGTTGACCTTTTTTCAATTCATAAAATGATTTTTACGGAAAGTAAATTTAGCACGATATGTTACATCACTGCTACTACGCAGAGTAATAAAAACAAGTTCGAGAAAATTTTTTTATTTGAAGAGCAAGGCAATAGAATGCTCTATTGAGAGATTAGAATGCTCCATGGATGGTGTTTTCTACACTAGGGAACGCTGCAAGCTCGGTACCGCCTAAATTTCCGGGTTACTGTTTCCGTTGTATTTTAAAGCCATTTGGCATCATTGTGTTTTGAGATTCTTGCAAACAATGTATTTGATTACTTATTACTTGTGTTTACAATGCTAAAAGTGTTAACACTAACGTAAGATGGTGCACAACTTGCAACAGGAACAAACAGTAATAAACTTATGGAAAGAGGCCATATCAAGACTGCCAAAAAAGCGAGTTATTCAAAATCTAGCAACCATGTCACCTTTTTTAACAATATATCTCTAAGAAACTAAAGCAAATTTTCACTTCAAACTCACCAGAATTACATATTAACATTAATATCTTATGAAATATGGCAGATTTGAGCTCAGAAATTATCTAATTTATTTCTTTTATTGAAAACAAGATTATCCGTTTGAAAACATCACCTATCAGAATAACATGTAATAAGCAGCTGCAAACTTTTTAACCGGAACTAGAGTAGGTACCGAGCTCGAGATTGTTTACATTTCTATTGAAAACACCATTGCAACCGATTGCATTACGTGCGTTCGAATGTTTAGAAAGTTTATTTAAGACCAACTGCCCATGCATGCGCAAATTACATTACGTGTGATCGCATGCAACAGGAGTGTTCTCTGAGATTAAATGCTCCTGCATGCCATAACAAATAATCTTAGGGACTCGTCCTACTGAATGCGATTCACGCACTTCCGATTGCCTTCCAACGAAAATGAGAATCTGATTGGTGAGTTTTTAGCGGAACACATTTGACCAATCCGGTAATTTTTTTTTCTCGACGGCAATTTGAAGTGCGCGAATCTCATGTAGTTAAAACAGCTACTTTTTAAAAGAAAGCTCTAAATAAACAGGGGTTTTCCCCATATTTAATTTTGTTCTTGCTGTTCAGCCATTGTAGGGTAGTGTAATCTGCATTACTACATAATAAAATTTGCAAAAACACCTGTTTATTAGGACTTTTCTTTTTAAAAAGTCCAAAAACAACTTTGAAAATTGCTTGAAACTTTTAGAATATTTAAGACATTTAAACCAGATTTTTTTCTTTAGTTGCCAAATACGATTCACTACAAAATTATGGAAAACTAATTCAAAAAATTTTTCGTGCATACGCAGTACAGAACTATAAATAATCACATCTTGCGCATTTTTTAACAAAATTTTCTAACTTTAAAACAATAATTTTGAGATTAATTTTAAATTGCTCCAAAAATAATTTTAATTTTACTGAATAGGTTATACTGAATGATTTTACTGAATAAGTTATAGCAAAAAAAAAAGCAAAAAAAAAGACAAAATAATTCGTTTTTTTTTTTTTTTTTTNTTTTTTTTTTTTTTTTTATAAAAATGTTCATTTAAGCTAGATTAACGAAATTTTATTCCGTCATTGCAAATAACATCCAAAATAATTTATACAAGTTACACGCTTAATGCTTGATTTTTCTAGAATAGGGTGCTCAAAAATACTTGTTTTCTTTCGTAATTTATTGTCAGTCTCTCAAACCTCTGAAATCTTTAAACTTTATTGCGAAATATGGAAAATCTCATAAACTAAATACTTCAAAATTTATAAAATGGTCCTCTAACTATTTCTTGAGAAATTCAAAAAAAGTCAACCCAGGTTAAAATTTTTGCTGGAATTTGTTTGCTGGACAAGCATATAATGCTATGTACCAGCTAAAATACCAGCATAATCTTCATAATAAAATTTAAATAAGTTCTAGGGACCTACTTTAAATAAATATAACAAGGTCTAAGGATTTGATAAAAATAAAAAATTCTGTTTTCGCCTAAGCTGTCTGTGGAGCACATTAAGCTGGCAAGTATAAAAAAGCATGTAATAGATTGTTAAGGTATATCTAGCTTTCCATGCTTGGGAGCCAGCTTAAACAGCTAATAAGCATGAGATGCTTGCACATAGCATATCATGCTATTACGATGAATGCTAGGTATCTAGCATGTGATGCTGGCAAGCAAAAAAAAGCATATAATAAGCTTGTTAAGGTACCTACCTCTCCATGCTTGGGAGCCAGCTGAAATAGCTTATAAGCATGTCATGCTTGTACATAGCATATCATGCTAGTACGATGTATGCTAGGTATCTAGCATGTGATGCTGGCAAGCATAAAAAAGCATATAATAGCTTGCTATGGTACCTACCTTACCATGGTAGGGAGCCAGCTTAAACAGCTAATAAGCATGAGATGCTTGTACATAGCTTATCATGTTAGTACGATGTATGCTTGGTATCTAGCATGTGATGCTGGCAAGCATATACTAGCATGAAAATCTAGCAGACCTAGCAGTACATAGCAAAAACTAGCATATTTTTGTTGCTGGTACCAGCATGAATTTAGACGTGGGAAGTGCTTTTTCCATTATTGTAGGGTAGTTTATTTTGTTTTACCTGTTTTTTATTAACTTTTTATTTAAAGAAAAACATAGGAACTCAGAAAGAACCACTATTAAAGTAATTTAAAAAGCTATTAAATTAAAGTGATTAATATATGAATAAATTATTGTCTTGTTAAAATAGCTGACTTTGAACAACCTTTCTACAGTTTATATTAAACTAGCTTTAATTACATTTAAAATATTATTTTGATGCATATTTTAACTTTAAAAATAATGTAGAACTTGAATTTCTTTTGTCAAAGGAATACCATTAAAAATTGAATCATGAAATAAAGAAAAAAAGCTACAGCTGATAAATTAAATACTTTCAAATGCAAAAACGTATAAAATTGAGCATCACAACATTAAATGACATTAAAGCAAGGAAAAAAAATAGAAAGTTTTTGAAAATTGATTCAATATTTTTGGATTTTTACGTACTAGGACTCAATCTTAATGGGTTCAAAAGTCAAATCTTAAAAGTGCTAATAATATGCAGATGATATTTTAATGATATAATAAATTAAGAAACCAGACATAAAAACGTACTTTCTCTGAATAAACATACCTTATTTCAGTGGATTTGGAATTCTCACTCTCAAAATATGAATGTTAGTTAGCCACAATCTGGAAAATATGGTCACAACAGTTTAGACAAGAGGACAGTCCAAAGTTTAGACCAGTAGGCTTTTCTCCCCTCGTCGTGACCGGATGGATATATTAAGATGTATTGAAAGTAACACACCTCATCTAAATGATCACAAAGAGCTTCAGCTGCTAGATTTTTTTTTTGTCCCGCAGTGGACTGACTGATCGTTAAGACACGGTTCCCAGAAGATCACCTAAGTCAAGCATCATTGGCTGCGGACAGTGTGCGGTGGGAAACCACTTGGATCAGTCTGCGTAGGGACCGAGGGTGTGCGGTATGGGTCCTCGTTAAACTGTTCTACCGTAAAGTGTTCGACTTCGCGTGCAGGTCGTTGGGCCACCGAAGCGGGGGTGCCATCCCCTCTGCAGAGGATCAAAATTGTGATGGCTTGTCTTCGGATCATCCTCAGGGATGTTTCCCAGACCGTCGCCAATAGCCCACTGTGCAGCTCTAGTGCGACGTTAATTAACTACAACAACAACAGCTAGATTTTTTTATTGAGAGAAATGCAGCATATCACACACCTAAACTAAACATATAAAAGAAATATCTATCCAAAAAACATATCAGCGACGAAAAAATAGTCCTGCTCCTTCCGAGCGTCCAACATCTACTACTGTCTTTCGCTTCGGCCTCTTCTCCTTTCTCTTCCAGTTACTTTCGCTTTTAATCTTTACAGACCTCTTAATGTTAATTTAACTTTTCGCGCATTTCGCTACACCACGAGAAATTTTTAAGCGAATAAAAAGATTTTTGTATGCAATTATAAAATTCGTTACTCTAAAGATAATTTTCATTCAAAAACAATTCTTATAACTCTTATTATTTTATCTAAAAGTAATCGAAAAATTTTTGAGTTGTAATGTATACAAAATTTTGCACAAGTTTAAAATATATAATTTCATATCTAATATAATTAAATATTTCTGCAATGTAAGCACTTATAAAACGGAATAATTCTGCTATATGGCTCACATAAAAATGATATTTTCTGTGAAAATTATATCAATTGAAATTTTGCAATAGAATTATATTTGGATAGATTTCACATGGAATTATATTTGGATAAATTTCACATGGAATTATATTTGGATAAATGATTTTTGCTATTGTATGCAAAAACTTTTTGATTCGCTTATCAATTTCTCGAGATATAGCGTATAGTTTTCAGCTCCATATAGTTTCCCAACTTAAAAGTTTTTAATCCAGTATTTGATAATCAAGAAAGAAACTAACGTACTCCCTTCTCCTATGACTCTCCACACGATAATGGTAAAAGCTTGCGAGAGTTCAGTTCTACGTCACCTGTAGCCCTTTACGATCGCCAAAAGACAGTGCTATCAATGATTTATTTTTTTAGTTGAAAGTTAAATTAGGGGGGTGGGGGAGTTATTTAAGGAAAAAGTAAGCATCTCAAACAAACAAACCTCTTCTTCTTTTTATTAAAGTAAACTAATTTTTATGACATAAAATTAAATGCATACTTGGACAAAAAACACAATTGTTTGATAAATTTGTTTTTACACATAATTATATCGGTAGGGGTCGTTATTGACGTTAAATTTCGTTCAATGATCCGGTTTTCATGACGCCAACATATGTTGCCTTTCCGTACCAAGAA